CCTTTCTCACCAAACGAAGCCCTAGCTGAACTTCCAAATTGATCTACTCCTCCAACCAAGACAAAACCCTAGATCTCAAACCTGGAGCTCTGATACCAATTGTTGTGCGTCGCGGAAGCGTGACAACCAAACGGGCGTGCTTCGAGAACCAAATCAAACAAACGTCGAGATAAAGGTCAAACAAATCAAAACATGGCACAAATCCAAACACAATAGTTTTACGTGGTTCGGCAAGTTGCCAAAGGTCAAACAAATCAAAACATGGCACAAATCCAAACACAATAGTTTTACGTGGTTCGGCAAGTTGCCAACGTCCACGGGGTAAGAAAGGGGGTGGAGTTTTTACTAATAGAGAAAGAGTACAAACTGAGATTACAAATCACTCGAAGGAACAAACTAATCTCACCAACAAGCTCTTAATCTCTCCAAACAAAACCCTAAACAAATAGCTTAGAAAATACCTCTTTTCTGTGCTCCAAATATCCCTAATTTTTCTTCTCCACCAATTTTCTCTTCCAATTGTTCCATATATATAGAAATCCTAAAATCATAAACATACTAGGAATTCTAAACCAAAAGCCAAATCAAATTAGGAATCCTAATAACCTATAACCAAAAATAGATTAGGAATCCTAATAACCTCATGTTACCAAAATAGACTAGGAATCCTAATAACTTCATGTTACCAAAATAGATTAGGAATTCCCTATCCAACAATATGATCCTTCATTGGTCGTCTATTACTAGCTATGAGACTCATCCGTATGAGCGTAGACATTACGCTTATAAATTTATTATTATTGACGGATTGGTAATAATAAAGCTTTACAGCATCCTAGCAATTTGAACAATGTTCCTCAATCTCAAAAGCAATTAAAGTAAGGAAAAATCCCAAGGCCCCTCGTATTACTTGAAACTCTTAGTTGGCCCATTTATAGAAATCCTAAAGCGGTGCTCTGTCCTACAAAAGGAAAGATTTTATTGATTATTTGACAATGACACGGTGCCGACATTCTTCGTCTTTTTTTGCGGATTAGAATCTATGAAAATGGGGGGTCAGTGTACTATGAATAATGCGCAGACCCATTGAAAGATAAATCCCATAAACATCACTATCTTGGAAAGCCACTTTATTATTCATGAGCAGTAGATCTTTACCCCCCCCCCCCCCCCCCCCCCCGCTTT